AGAAGAAGAAGAAGAAGAAGAAGAAGAAGAAGAAGAAGAAGAAGAAGAAGAAGAAGAAGAAGAGGAAGGGCTCCCATAAGCTCATGTATTTAATGCTTAGTTCCCCATTGTTGAACTGCTGGGAAGGATTAGGAGGTGTGGCCTTGCTAGAATAGGACACATCCTTGTTGGAGGAGGTGTGTCACCTGGAGGTGGGCTTTGAAGTTTCCCCACCTGCTGCTTGAGGATAAGGCTGTAAAGCTCTCAGCTACTGCTATAGCACCATACTTTTCTGCCTGCCACCATGCTCCCTACCAAGACGATAATGGACTGACCCTTTAAAACTGTAGGCAAGACCCCAAGTAAATGTTTTCCTTTATAAGAGTTGTCTTGGTTGGGCTGGAGAGATGGTTCAGAGGTTAAGAGCACCGGCTGCTCTTCCAGAGGTCCTGAGTTTAACTCCCAGCACCCACATGGTGTCTCACATCCATCTATAATGAGATCTGGTGCCCTCTTCTGACATGCAGGCAGAACATAATAAATAAATCTTTTTAAAAATAAAAAAGAAAGAAGATAAAAAATATTAAAAAAGAGTCTTACATAATAAATAAATATTTTTAAAAAGGAAGAAAAAAATTATATGTAAAAGAGAGTTAGTTGTCTTGGTCATGGTATCTCTTCACAGCAAAATAACAGTGACTAAGAAAGTAACCTTTCACTATAGTCCACCCATTTTTATAGTGTCCCTTTGAAGGGCATTACCAGGCCTAGTCCACAGGAAGTAACACAGTTGCCCTCCACCTCCTAGAAGATGAAGGACTGCACACATTGTTTGTAATTCTGTTACATGGAAGATTCATCCTTCTACTTCTTGGCCATTTTGCTGTCACCAGAGACTGTAGCTGTTTTCTGTCTGGGCTGTAGCAATGCTGTTTCGTTTATTCTACTGCTTAAGTCGCAGGCCTTTATAGAAGACGTCTCCTCAGGCCCCACGTTTGCTTGGCATGCTCCCATCAGTCTAGGTCCGGATGTAACTTTTTGGTTTGCTTTAGAATTTTGTTGCTTTCTGAAACTGTGCTATGCTCCTGACTCACCTTGTGTATTTCTTGAGTTTTCCTAGAATTACCTATATATCTAAAAGGACTGGCTCCATTGATTGGAAAAAAATTGTAGGCATCCATTATTGGAATGCTAGGTATGCCCTTTCCTGCTGGGATGTCATTGCTTCTAAGACCTTCTTGGTGGCAGAACACAGAACTGTGAGTATGTCTACGTCCATGCTTGTATTGTGTGGCACATGAGCTCATCCTGAGGTTCTCAGCTCTGACCCATCATCAGATGATCATTCCAGTAATAGCTTCTGCAAAACAGTGATGCTAACTCTTAAAGTCTGGCTTGCCAATATTTTCTGTAATGTATAGTGTTTTTCACGTTGTAAGTGCTGTAACTATTTTTATTCTTAAGTAAATGGATTCATAAGGCAAATATATAGACTCAAATGTTTAAGTTCAGAAATTAAAATGCTGAAGGTAAGAATCAGCTCTCTCATCTTCATCCTCAGCCAAATGTCCTTCCCTAGCTGATGCCTGCAGCAGCATCCTCCCGCCTTCCGGATCATGGATGCAATTGGTTTCTACTCTTACATCCTTCAACACCCTCTGGACTATTCCCACCTAATCAGGGATGAGTCAAAGAGAGGGAAGGGAGAGAGGGCTCTTATGTGATGGGCTGACTTCATCCTCTCTGCTGTGGGCAGGTGGTTACCTTGTGGATACTTTGGGTGGCTCTGCAGACTCCTGCTGATGCCTCTTTAATCACAGGCACAAAAGATACATTTGAATCCCTGGAAAACTGTCCTCAACCTCTGGTTTACTAGAGGCCCTTTCCACAAACTTTCCATGCAAGATCCCCTAGACTTCCCCCACCCAGCTCTGGCTCTACCCTCTGTTCATGTAGCCTATGTTTATTGATAGACATGAAGTGGACATTCTTCATTCAGATGATTCCAACATAGCAGCTTTCTCTTTGTCCCATCACCAAAGCAGAGGGCCAAAATTTACTCAACCTCCTATGATTCCTGGACCAGAACTAGACACATGCTCACAGTGGTCCTATTGTGGGTTTTCCTGCCTTGTTTTTGATGTGTGGTTGGTACAAAGAATTCAGTCTTTCATCACTGAGTCTGAGCTTGTCTGAGACACCTTCTCTCACACCAAGGGTGTCCCCTTCATTTCTTGTGGGTCCTGAATTGTGTTAAATGACTTCTGTCAGTGGCCACATCTGCTTGGTTTTCTGCTTTGTTCCATGGTCATGGTACATCACATTCACAGTGGTTTAAGTACGATAAGGTTCTAGCATGCTTGAGATGACCCCTGTTTATGGTGTCTGAGAACATAGCCACAAGGACTGAAGCATGATTTGTAGTAGTGGAGCATGCCTAATTCTTGGTTGGCAGTTCTTTTTCTTTCTTTCTTTAAAAATTATAATAAATTATATAATGCCAGCAACAATAATTGTTATCTATAGCCAGAGAGACAGACTGCAGTGGAGTTATGCTGCCTTAGGACACTGAGATTTCTCTGCTTAAAATTTCCAGCTCCCACCTTCTCCTCTGTTGAGCCTGGTCCCTGGAGGTTTCCACCATCGTCGGCGCATTTTAATGGTAAGCCAAGGATTCAGGCCCTTCTGCAGTCTTCTATCTTCTGGAATTTCCCTTTCAAATATCCCGCCTGGCTGAATAAATCTCCTTTTCCTGGTATTACTTGTATTTTAATTGGCCTGCTGGGAATGGGTTGTTAGCACTGCCTGGGCCCAGACTGTTGCCTAACCGCCCCCTCAGCTCTCCAGCCTCAGCTCTCCAGCCTCAGCTCTCCAGCCTCAGCCTGCTGGGACCACAGTCCTGACCCACCACGCCCAGCCCGACCCTCTCTTTGGTCACTCAGCTGTGTTCTGTAAGTTATCGTTTCTCTTTATCATTTGAGATTTTAAAACAATTTCGATTTTTCTGAGGAGTCATTCATTCGTTAATAAATACATTTTCCTTTAAATTATTTGAATATTTATATTCGTGGCTTTTTGTTCTTTTGCTAATTGCAATGACTAGGTCATCTCAGGGTAGTTTCTACTGCCTGGCATTCCTCTAGAGCAGTGGTTCGCAATCTTCCGAACGCTGTGACCCTTTAATCAGTTCCTCATGATATGGTGACTTGCAACTATAAAATTATTTTTATTGTTATTTCATAACTGTAATTTTGATACTGTTATGAATCATAATATAAATATTTGATGTGCAGGATATCTGATATGTGATCCCTGTGACAAGGTTGTTGGACCCCTGTGGGATCTCAGCCCACAGGTTGACAACCATTGCCCTAGTGGGATCCACAGTAATCAGATTAACTCCCTCTGTTGCCTGTTTGCCTGGCTTTTTACTCATTACCTTAGAAGGATTTATCCGACCCAGCCCTTCCATTATTCATCCATCTGGTGAAGTTGTAGGATTGCTTTCAGCCTGGGCTGCGCGTACTGACAACCACTGTGCATTTGGCCTCATATTAACTGTAAGAGTGGCTTAGATTTTGACATTTCTTGGAGACTGTTGCATTTCCATTCTTGAATCAAGGTGTACCAGGATATTATAACAGTAAGTATATATTATATACATTTGTCCAAATCCACAGACGGTACACCACCAAGAATAAACCTGATGAAAGTTATGGGCTTAGTGAGGTAATGGCATGTCTACGCAGGTTCATCGACTGGAGCAGAAGAACTGTGTAGATGAATGTTGATGGTGGTGGAGTCTGCGTGTGGGCACAGTGGGCGCATGAGGGATCTTCATGTTTTCCACCCAATTCTGCTATAATTTAAAATTGCTCTAGAAAAGAAAACCTACCAACAGCCTGAGCTGGCTTGCTAACAGCCCCTCCTCCGATTGCTCAGCTTTTTTCAAACCTGTTTCCCAAGCTTTCTCCTCTCCTACTTTTTCTGGTTGAGTGATCTCGGTAAGAAGTTTAGCGACGTTAGATTAGCCTCCTCGGGCTGACGAAACACCAAAGGGCTCAAGCAATGAAGCTTATTTTCTCATGGTTCTGGAGGCCGGAAGTCCAAGAGGAAGCCACCAGAGCTGGTGTCTGATGAGGCCTCTCTTCCTGGCTTGTAGGCACTTGTCTGCGTCCTCACGTGACCTTTCTTGACCGAGTCTGTGCCTCTGCCTCTTCCTATGAGGACACCAGTCCTTTCTGTCTGTGCTTTACCTCAGGACGTCCCTTCGACAAGCACGTCCCTAAAGGCCCCATCACCAAACAATCACCTTGGAAGTGAGGACTCCAACAAATGAATCTGTGAGCACCACAATTCAACTGACAATGGGTATTCCTATGAACAATGTGTTGAATTTCCCCCTTTCGTTCATCACATTTCCATCATTTGATGCCCCTTTTGAAAATGTGTGCAAGTGGCTTCCATGTTGACTTCCAAGAGGAAGTCAGTGCGGTTGGCCAGAGATTAGAAGCCTGAGTTAAAGTGGGGAATGCCAGAAAGGTCTCTAATGTGTAATGTTGACAAGGCATTCGATCTGGACAGAAGGAGAATTCATGAGCGACTTGAAGACAGGAAGCATGCCTTTGGATAGAGTATGATTTGGAGGGTAACCAGGAGGCAGTGTGGATTTTCTTACATGTTAGCCGCAGAGGTTTGTCAAAGACTTGCGAGTAACCTTTAAAAATGTCAAGGTCTACCGTCTCATGTCAGCGAGACAGGGCAATTTGTTTTTCTTTTCTTCGAAGATAAAAAATGAAAACTTCACAATGAAAATTCATTTGTGAATAGTTGGCTCTAGATCCACCCCAGCACTAGAAATAAACATACGTGAGGGGACATGGAATGTGATTACACCCTCAAATTTAGCATGTGGGAAAGTATATGCAGCAATACAAAAATCATACACACAGGGAGCCAGCCACCAGGAAAGCATGATAGACCATTTTCCATGAATTAACCCTGAGGAAAAATGATTTTTTGAGCAATGAATAATTTTTATTTTGTAGTCAAAAATATTTTATTTATAGCAGTTGGGGATTTATCTTGGAGGTAAGAAATGAATTTCTGTTGCCAAAGGGTCAAGAGAAAAGGGGAACTATTTTTGATGAAGGGTGGAGATATATTTTAAAAATAACACTTTAATTTCATTTCTTTTATTTTTTTCCAACTAGACTCAACAGGAAGCAATGAATCGAAATTATAGCAAGAAACGACTGTGTGCTGCAGAACGGAGACCCTGCTCAGAGCAGCCCCAGGATAAGGCTTGAAGACCTGGACCTCTTCCTCAGGGAGGCTGAGCCTCTTTGTCCTGGGATGTGCTTCCCTGGGAGGAGGCCTCAGTGGAGAAGCAAAGGCTGGCCACTTGTCCCCCTGTGTCTCAGACCCAGGAGAGGTGGTAGGATGCTGCAGGGCTGTGCATCCCACTCTGCGAGGACCAGACAATAGGAGGGTCAACTCCAGCTCAGCCGGGTTCAGCCTGTGTGCAGCCAAATGGATTTCTCTGCGTCTCGCTGTCACTGCCTTCAGCCTGGGCCTGCTGAAGGACGAAAGCGAACAGATGAAATGCTTGCACTATGGCAGTAGCTGTTCCATGAGATGTAGTCTTTACTGAGAGAAGACCCTTGACTTTATTCAGAAAAGGAGACTGTGACTGAACCCCGAGGAGGCCAACTGTGCCCAGTGTCGTGCCTCAAGGTTCCCCAGTCTCTGTTGGTTATTAGGCTTCATTACCGTGACCAAACACCAGACAAGAAGCAGCTTGAGGAAGAACGCATTTATTTCCGCCCCTGGTTTGAGGGGCCAGAGTCCATCATGGTGAAGAAGCCATGGTGCAGGAGCAGATTGATGGATGGTGGCAGCAGGAGGTTGAGATGACTGGCTGCATTGCATCAGCAGCCAGGAAGAAGAGAGAGGCCAGAAAGTGGGTGTGGCTAGATACTGAACCCCTCCACACTTTCCCCAGCTTGGCCCCACCTCCAAATGGTCCCACAACCTTTCCAAAACAGCATCACCAATTGAGAGACAAGGATTTCACACCCAGAACACAATAATTTTTTACAACTCAGGGAGGCTTCGTTTTTCTCATGTATTTTGTTTTCTCTTTGTGTGGGAATTCTTGGGGCTTTTGCTCCAGCTTGTGACTTGTTGGGTTAGAGAGCAGCCACGCCAACTAGGGGTGAAGTCCACTCCTACAGAATATGCTAGCAATGCTAAGAAGCATGGAGCCTGACCTAAGATGCAGTGGGCATAGATGGACACTGTACTTGACCTGGTGGCTCCTAAAGCTAAGTTCAAATCCCACCTCTTGGCCACGTGCTGAGGAGCCAAGACCTGTTTTGATAAAATCCCTCCCACATCAGAAGCAAAAGCATCATTCTATTTCCCATGCTGGCGAAGGCCCGCCAAGAGTACAATCCTGAGTGGTGAGCCCTTCTACTGACTGCAGGAGAGGTCAATGTTTGGAGTAGTGCTGTGTGTTAGGTACTTCAGTATTTTGTAGTCTCTAGCCTGAGGCTCTCACTAATACCTTGGTTCCCATGCAGATGATCAGGAATCTGGGCATCGATTCATATTCTCCACCAGGGCTGGACCATGGTGAGGCCAGGAGAATGCTAGGGTAGAGTGTAAAGGGGCAGTTGCACAAATCTGAGCATGAGTATTTCCTTCAGCCTGTACCCATGGAACCTCATTTATTTCCTCCTGGTAACCAATGGTTCCCAAACTGGCCTTCCTGTGCAGGCCTTGCAGCCTCCTAATGGCTTTCTAGACTGTGTTGAAGTGCCTCAAAGCCTACAGGCCGTTATTGGACCTTCTGGACTGTTCCTGTTGCCTACAAGAGCCTCTTCCCTGCCCTCTTGGCTTGGATAGCACGATGCCAGACTTGAAACCCCCTAAGTGTGCTGGACTTTGGACAGTAGGATGCTTCTGTGTGGGGTAGTAGGAAACTCACCTCTTTCCCTCCTAGCCAAACCAGGGATTTCTTCTTCATTACCTCCTATTTTTTCTTTCTTTTTTATTCTTCTCTCATACATTAAATCTTGGCCACCATTTCCCTCCCTCCACTCCTTGAAGGCCTCCCCAACTCCCCTTTCCTCCAGAACCACTGCTCTTCCATTTCCCTTAAAAAAAAAAAGAGAGAGAGCAGGCCTCCCAGAGATATCAACTGAACATAGCATAACAAGTTACAGTAAGACTAGTCACAAACCCTCATATCGAGGCTGGACAAGGCAACCCAGTAGGAGGAAAAAGGTCCCAAGAGCTGGCAGAAGAGTCAGAGACACCCCTAATCCCACTGTTAGGAGTCCCACAAGAACACCCAGCTACACAACCATAAGGCATATGCAGGGGACCCAGCTCAGACTTATACAGGGTCCATGATTGTCACTTTAGTCTCTGTGAGGCCCTATGAACCCTGCTTAGTTGATTCTGTGGGTTATGTTCTTGTGGTGTCCTCCACCTCTCTGGCTCCTATAACCCTTACTCCCCCTCTTCTGTGGGGGTCCCCGGCTCTGCCTAGTGTTAGGCTGTGAGTCTCTGCATCTGCTCCATTGGTTGCTAGATGACACCTCTCTGGTGACAAGTGGGCCAGGCACCTATTTATAGCAGAACATCACTAGGAATCATTTCACTGAATTTTTTTCCTACTCCTATCCTGGTCTCTGGACTGTCTAGCCTCTGGTTCCGGGCCATCCAGGCAGTGTCAGGCATGGGCTCCCTCTTGTGGTGTGGGCCTCCAGTTGGACCAGTCATGGTTGGCCACTCACACAAGTTCTGTGCCACCATTACCCCAGCACATCCTGCAGGCAAGGTGGATTGTAGGGCAAAGATCTTGTGGTTGAGTAGATGTCCCAGTCCCACTGCTGGAAGCGTTGCCTGGTTACAGAAGACGGCTGGGTCAGGCTCCATATCCCCCATTGCTAGGAGTCCTCTCCAGGGTCACCCTCGTAGATCCCAGGGAGTTCCCACTGTACTAGGTTTCCACACCGCCCTCCAATTCCAGTCTTCTCTCCTAGACCACTCTCCCTCCACTCCTCCCCAACCTGACTAATCCCTCCTGTTACCATCCCCACCCACGCCCCAGTCCACCCACAAAATCTATCCTATTTTCCCTTCCCAGGGAGACCATGTGTCCCCTCTTGAGCCATCCTTGTAACTTAGCCTCTCAGGGCCTGTGGATTGAAGCCTGGCTATCCTTTGCTAAACAGCTCATGTCCACTTGTGAGGACATACCACGTTTGTCTTTCTGGGTCTTACCTCACTCAGGATTTTTTTTCTAGTTCCATCCATTTGCCTGCAAATTTTATGATGCTGTTGTTTTTAACAGCTGAGTAATACTCTTTATCCATTCTTTGATTGAGGGACATCTAGGTTGTTTCCAGTTTCTGGCTATTATGAATAAAGCTGCTATGAACATAGTTGATCAAGTGTCCTTGTGGTAGGATGGGGTGTCCTTTGGGTACATGCCCAAGAGTGGTAAATAGCTGGGTCTTGAGGGGGATGGATTCCCAGTTTTCTAGGAAATCGCCATATTGATTTCCAAAATGGCTTTGCAAGTTTGCACTCCCACTAGTAATGTGGAATGTTCCCCTTGCTCCACATCTTCTCCAGCACAAACTGTCCTTTTGTGCTATTGATCTTAGCCATTCTGACAGGTAGAAAATGGAATCTTAAAGTGGTTTAATGTGTATTTTCCTGATGGCTAAGGATGTTGAACATTTCTTTAAGTGTTTCTTAGTCATTTAAGATTCCTTTGTTGAGAATTTTCTGTTTATATCTGTCCCTCATTTTTAAATTGGATTATTTGGTTTATTGATGCCTAGTTTCCTGAGTTCTCTATATATTTTAGATATTGGTTGTAGCTAGAGTTTTCCTGCCTTGCCCACAGTCAGGACAAATCTCTGTCACCCGCCAGTCCCACAGCCGCTCAGACCCAACCAAGTAAACACAGAGACTTATATTGCTTACAAACTGTATGACCGTGGCAGGCTTCTTGCTAACTGTTCTCTTATCTTAAATTAACCATTTCCATAAATTTATACCTTGCCACGTGGCTGGTGGCTTACTGGCGTCTTCACATGCTGCTGGTCATGGCGGCGGCGGCTGCAGCGTCTCTGGTCATTGCGGCGGCTGCAGCCAGTCCTTCTGCCTTCCTGTCCTTTTATTTCTCCTCTCTGTTAGTCCCGCCTATCCTTCCTGCCTAGCCACAGCCGATCAAGTTTTATTTATTAACCAATCAGAACAACTTGACATACAGACCATCCCCCAGCACAGCCAAGTGCAGACCATCTCAAACACCTGCACTCAGGCCCATGGTCCTAACCATCCTCTATACGGACCTACTGGGTAACGCCACAAGGAACCTAAGAATGGGCTCCCACAGGACCTACAGAACATCCCACAGCAATTGGTCCTCTGGCAAACGTGGGGTTGGTGAAAATATTTTCCCCTTCTGTAGGTTACTATCTTGTCATATTGATGATGCCCTTTGCCTTAGAGAAGCTTTTCAGTTTCATGAGGTCTCATTTATTGATTGTTGATCTTAGTGCCTACACTGTTGTTGTTCTGTTCAGGGAGTTGTCTCCTGTGCCAATGAGTTCAAAGCTATCCCTCAATTTCTCTTCTATCAGGCTCAATGTATTTGGTTTTATGTTGAAGTCTTTGATCTGCTTGGCCTTGAGTTTTGTGCAGGGTGATAGATATGGATCTATTTGCATTATTTTACATGTAGACATCCAGTTAAACCAGTGCCATTTGTTGAAGATGCTCTTCTTTTTCCTATGGTGCATTTCTGGCATCTCTATAAAAAATCTGGTATTCATAGGTGTGTGGATTTACTTCTAGGTTTTCAATTCAATGCCATCGATCAACCTCTCTATCTGTTCTTTCTTCAAAGACTTGAAGTTTTTGTCATATAAGTTTTTCACTTGCTTGGTTATAGTTACTCCAAGATATTTTATATTATTTGTGACTATTGTGAAGGGTGTTGTTTCCCTGATTTCTTTCTTAACCAATTTGTCATTTGTATATAGGAGGGCTACTGGTTCTGTTTGTTTGTTTGCTTCTTGTTTTTGTTTTGCTGTTTTTGAGTCAATTTTGTATCCAGCAGCTTTATTGAAAGTGTTTATTGAAAGTGATAGAATTTTGGCATTACTTAGGTATACTCTCTTATCATCTGCAAATAGCGATACTTTGACTGCTTCCTTTCCAATTTGTATCCCCTTGATTGCCTTCAGTTGTCTTATTGATCCAGCTAGAACTTAAAGTACTATATACATAGATATGGAGAGAGTGGACAACTGTGTCTTATTCCTGATTTTAGTAGAATAACTTTGAGTTTCTCTCCATTTAATTTGGTGTTGGCTATAGAACAGGTATAGGCCAAGCAAGCTATAAAAACACATAGGAGAACTCAGGCAGAGACTCTTTGCTGGACCAGAGATCACGCCTGCCTCCAGAACCCGAAATAGGCAGCCCACCGGAGGACCTCCACCACTCACACAGTGCCCTCAATCCTCACTCCCTTGGTCAACACCATATCCAAATGCCCAACTGGGGCAGAGACTCCCTGCTGCACCAAACGGCAAACTAGCTGCTAGAAGTCCAGCTCACAACTTGAACAGAGACCCCCTACTGGATCAGAAGTCATACCAGCCACCAGAAATCCAGACCACAAAGACCAAAGACCAAACAGAAACCAAGGAACAAAACACCCATCTTGCTGGGAGATGTCTTTCTGTACACTGTGTATATATGTTGTTATCATTGGTTAATAAATAAGCTGCTTTGGCCTATGGCAAGGCAGCTTAGAGGCAGGCAGAAAATCCAAGGAGAGAGGAAAGAGAAAAGCAGAGTCTAGAGAGACACCAGCCCGCCACCAAGGAGCAACATGCCAGCAGACTGGTAACACCACAGCCATATGGCAAAACACAGATTAATAGAAATGGATTAATTTAAGATATAAGAGCTAGCTAGCAAGAGGCCTGTCACAGGCCATACAGTTTGTAAATAATATTAAGCCTCTGAGTAATTATTTTATAAGTGACTGCGACCACGGGGCCAAGGAGGGCCAGAGAAACCTTCTGGCTACACCATCCAACAAAGACAAACTCAGAAATCTGCATTTAGACTTATAATCATCCCAAACCCAGATGCCTAAATGCCAGAGTAAGAACATAATCAACAGAGCCAGGGCAATATGGCACTACCAGAGCCCAGCTATCCTATGATAGCAAGACCTGAGTATTCCAATGCAGCTGAAGCACAAGAAAATGACCATAATCTACCATATAAACAACTGAAAGAAGAAAAATGATACGATCATCTCATTAGATGCTGAAAACACCTTTGGCAAAATCCAACACCCCTTCATGGTAAAAAGGATAGACCTAAACATACCTAAACATAATAAAGGCAATTTACAGCAAGCCTATACTTTAAGGGTTGGATCAGGATCATATATCCACATCCTGAGAGCAGGCTAGAAATGGTGTTACTATTCTTTTTTTTTTTTTTTCCTTTCGAGACAGGGTTTCTCTGTGTAGCTTTGCGCCTTTCCTGGA